AGCAATAGAACTGGCCGACCACGCACTGGACCTCTGAAACCGTGAGCCCCAAATAAACTTGTCTTCCTCTAAGTTGTGCTTGTCAGATACTTTGGACACAGAGACTCAAAGCGCACTAGCACAGTGTTCAGTCTGTGCACTGCCACATCACGTGCTCACAAGCCCGCTGTGAGCAGCCCTCCCCGTCGTCCTTGTCACATTGACACAGCTGCCCTTCCCACCCTCAGCTGGACAGCTGACCTCTGCTCCCAGGTCTCTGCAGACTCCAGGGTCTTACCGTCTAATTTCTTTAACTTCACTGAGGCCTCATTCTGGGTATGCCAGAGCAGATGCAGATGCCAGAAACTTCTAGAAACTCTGAGTCCAAACTTCCCAAGAGGCATTTGGGTGAGTACCCACAGTCTTAAAGAGAAGTCTGAGGCAGTGGGTGATTTCCACTCAGCACACGACTCAAAGTTGATTTTTAGGCACACACGATCTTAAAAATTCTCCAGCTCTTCTTAATTTTTAGCAAAAAAAAAAAGCAAAATTAAAAAAAACCCACATATTTGCTGTATGCTGGCTGTGCCTTTCCTCTCTCACTTCACTCAACCTAAAATTTCAGGGGTTCCATCCTGCTCGCCTGCCTCTTTGTCTTAACGTTCTCTTTACCCTTCGGGCTTATGATTCAAGATGTTTTTCTAAAAAGGGAGAGAATCGCCTAATGTGTATTTTTATGCCAGTTATAAAAATAACGTTTTCACTCTTTTTCTAAGGACTGGACGGTCCACAGAGGAGAAGATTTGGATGCATTCACCAAGGATTCAAAGAATCAAGACTGAGGACATGAGCCCAGAATTACCTCCCTGTGAATGACAAGTGGCCTTGGCTTCTTTGTCTTTGCTTGACATTAGCTCACTGCGGTTCTCTCCTTGATTGTTCATTTTTGTAAGAAGAATGTCACTCCGGCTCCCAGCCTCAAGTGCTGTCACTTTCAGACAATGATGGCCAGATTTACGTCACCACGGGTGGATGGCTCGGAAAACGTGAGACCCCGAGTGGACCTGCCTGTACGTGTCGTGGGTCTCCTCTCCAATTCCCGGGACCAATTCCCACTGGAAGGACCCACAAATGGCCATGTCAACCCTATCAGGGCTCCTCCTCAGCTAGGGTCCGCTGTGAGCTGGGCCTTGTCTGTCTTTGCTGTTTAACTCAGTCTTCACCAGGAACAGAAGGGCTGGTGCCATTTTCATGCCCATTACATGGACAAGAACACCGAGGCGGGGAAGCTACCTGTGGTGGTCACAAACAAAGCAACTTGGCCCCAGAATCCATGAATTACTAGGTCACTCAGTGTTTATGGTTTCAGTGCCTGGTGGCTGGGATTTGGTGATGTCACAGAGTCACTGTGACACCAAGGCTGTAGGCTGAGTGTCGCCAGATTGTCACGTGCTAGTCTGGACACGGCTTGTACAGAAATGTCTCTCCCATTCCCAGGCGAGGGTACTTTCTGCTGTCACATACTCTGGCCCCACTGGGGCTACCTGCTGCCTTGTCCTGCAGTTCTTAGGTCATCCTTGGTGCGATTATTTTAGACCTCTTTTCTCCGCTAAAATGCCATCTCCATGAGAACAGGGATCATGTCCCTCTGGTTTGTCACTGTATTTCCAATACTTAAAAGAGTGCCTGACACCTAGTTTGGCTTCAACCAATGTTTGTTTAGCGCACACTGCAGGAGTGACAGGGAGTGGGTGGGACTAAGGCCCATTCCTTCTAGGAGGAAGCTGCGTCATCTGGCTGTGGCGGACCTGGCAGGCCAGACAGCTTTTTGTTTGGGGTTCTCTCATGCACATGGAAGGCTGCTACCCCTAGATGCCAGTGGTACTCCTCACCCGAGCTGTGACGACCCCAACTGTCCCGCTACAGGCAAGACAGAATGAACCAAGGAGCAGCGGATGGGGAAGTACCATATCTTATTCCAGGAAAACATGAGGAAGGACTTTTCGATGGTTCAATTTCACCAATAATATGGGCTCATTATGAAAGTGCCCTTTTGCAGGTTGGTCCTTGGGGAACAATGACAGCAAGGGAGGTCTTTTGTAACAACGAGGAGCTGTATGCAAGAGCATCAGCTGTCCCTGGGAGGGATGTGCCCAGGCAGGCGCCATGTCTACCGTTTTACTGCCATAGTTCAGTTCTTCTGACAGGTTGGTGGGTGACAGGGTCCCACAGGACTTGGTGACTTGACTGGGTAGGTCACATGACTGGCCCATGGAAGAACACAGAATCGAACCCCGGCAGGTCCTGCAGATGACGAGGCCCGTGCTGTCAGCCACCCACCTAGAAGAGTGTTCTTAAAGCTTTATCCTTGCAAACGTCCCCCTCAGTGCCCCCACTCCCATCTGTATTTCGGAGGATCCTGTACTGGACACAGGGGTCCCAGCACCTGGCCCTTAAAGATATTTGTTGAATGAATGGATGGCTGCAAAGGGTTTTTCCACGTGCAGGTAATCTGAATTAGGTCCTCCTTATTTGTTAAAGGGTGCGTCTATTTCTTACCTAATCCTTGTCCACTTTTACACAAAACGGTTCAACTAAGTCCCTACTCCCCTGCGCTTCTGCAGGGTCCTGCTCGCTCCATTTTGTCCTTCATGCTGAGCCATTTTTTCAAAATAATCATCCTAAGAAAAGGCAGTCCCTTCTCTACGCAGGCAAATTCACAGTAAAATCTCCCCCCCTTCGCATAGATTTTCATTAACTGGTGGGGGTGTATGTGATGATTTTCCCCATTTTATCAAAGAAAAAAAATTGGAGCTGTGCTTTTTAGGATGTGGTGGTCCAGTATGTTAATTAAAGCTCGCTAACGGATACATTTTTCGGTAAACCCTTTTCTATATTTCTACTGCAAACCACACAAATAGGTATGAAGATCTCCCCAGCAATCCAGGCAGGTGGATGCCTTCTGACGTTTCTGGTTTTCTCCTGGGTTGCGGCTGATGCTCTGGAATTCTCTACCCACCTGACTGCGGCTTCCAGACTGTGGGAGTGCGCCAGGAAGATCTCTCCAGCCATTTCTCACATCCCAAAATGGCATCAACGAGATAGAAGGCCTCGGGCTTCAGGGCCCCAAATGCAGATCTGAACATTCTCGTGCTTCTATTTTAAGAGGTACTGTGGGATAAATGACACCCACGGGACTTTTGATAGAAACTCTGCAAAAGAACAATCAAAATAGCACTTTCTGTTGATCTCTCCTCCCCCCCCCCCCTTGGCTCCTGACTGCTCCCTGGGACCGGGAAGGGCTTAAATGGATGAGGACAAAACGGAGGTGTCATCGGGACAATAGAAGGTGGCGCCTGAGAGTGGGCTTGAGAGGCGTCATGTGTCCTCTGAGGGACGTGTCCTCCTTGTGATGGAATCAATGCAGGCAGAACAAGCTCTCTAAAGAGATCTTCTCTCCGAGTCCAACGCTTCTCAAAGAAAGAGCCACAAAAGCACACAATGGTAGTGTCGATTCTCTGTCCCCGGCTGGAAAAACCGTCACTTGAGTGCTGCACAGGAAAGGTCCCTGGGACTCGTGCAGCACGGCTGAGCAGGTGGTGAGAAGCCCAGGTGCATGCGACACCTGCCACCTACGTGGGCGCGGGCCCCTCCTGTACAACGGGGGCGTTGGGGGAGGAGGTTCGGCTGGAACCCGAGCTGCACCGAGCACAGGGCCAGCGGGGTGTGCAGGTGCGGAGAAGGCAGAGGCAGGAGGGGCACCGCCAGCATCCCGCTCACCTCTTCCACCTCCTTCAAGTTTTAAACTCGGCGTCCTAACTTCTGGGACTTGTTTTTAGGTGGCTTGGACCTGACTGGCAGGGAGATGAGATTGTGGATACGGTGATGGTTGGGTATGAAGTGTCCTCCAGAGGCCTGTGGGTTGCAGGCCGGGTGCCCAGTACAGCCATGTCCAGAGGTGGGCCCTCTGGAAGGTGCTGGATCCCCAGGCCTCTGACTCACTAGGAGGAATCCCTCCGGGCTGGAGGGACTGTGGGGAGGGGGTGAACAGTAGGGGGCATGGCCTGGTGGGAAGAAGCGGGTCACTGTGGGCGAGGTCTGGCTGGAGGAAGCAGGTCTCTGGGGTGTGGCCGACTGAGAGAGACAGGAAGAAGGTGATGAGCTCTTCCAGGCCACGCCCTCCCAGAGGAATTGAGTCTCTGGGGTGTGGCCTAGTGGGAGGAAGTCAGTCTTTGGGGTGTGGCCTAGTGGGAGTAAGTAGGTCTCTGGGGTGTGGTCTGGTGGGAGGAAGTGAGTCTCTGGGATGTGGCCTGGTGGGAGGAAGTCAGTCTCTGGGGTGTGGTCTGGTGGGAGGAAGTCAGTCTCTAGGGTGTGGCCTGGTGGGAGAAAGTGGGTCTCTGGGGTCATGGTGTGATGGGAGGAAGTAGGTTTCTGGGGGCATGGCCTGGTGGTAGGAAGTGGGTCTCTGGGGGCGTGGCCTGGTGGGAGGAGGTGGGTCTATGGGGGTGTGGCCTGGTGGGAGGAAGTGGGTCTCTGGGGGCGTGGCCTTCTGGGAGGAAGTGGGTCTCTGGGGGCGTGGCCTGGTGGGAGGAGGTGGGTCTCTGGGGCGTGACCTGGAAGGGCTTATCGCCTTCTTCCTGTCTCTCTCTGTTGGCTTCCAAGCTGCCGAGAGGAGCAGGTCGGCTCTGCTGTGAACTTTTGCTTCACCCCAGGTCGGAGCATGGAGCCTCTGGCCACGGACTGAAACTAAAGTAAATCTCTCCTCCTCTGAGTTGGAGTTGTTTTTCTCAAATGCTAACAGAGACCCTCTCAGAACAATGATTTTTTTTGAAAAGTGCATAAAGTACAGACATTTCAAAGAAACAAAAGACGCTGAAAAGTTATCAAAATATGGAGTGGAATGACGCACAAAACGGGCTCATTGTCACACGGAGTAGAAAGACGAGGGGGCGGGGGTCTGAAGATGTCACAGTCACGAAGTAATGACACGGTAAGTGACGTTCAAAATGCCTTCCACCCTGTGCAGGGGCAGTTGTGATTTCCATGGGTGACGGTCACAGCTGCGCTCCCAATCTCGTGGTTTGTTCCCTCCTTTACGATCAGGGGACTTATGACTTTCAGCTGGAAGTTAGTGGGTGCGTTACTTTTTCCCCTCTGACTTCATGGCCGTCCTGAATTCCATGGACAGACTGGGCTGGAAACCTCTGTCCCGGGGAAATAATGGGACCCATGCCTCAGACCCCATCTCTTCTCTCTGTAGTCATTCCCTCAACCATATTGTCGAGACTCCTGGGTTTAAATGGTGTTTTTTTTTTTTTTTCATAATAACTTCCAGTTTTCTTCCAAACCTAGATTCTCCCCAGAATCTCCCACGGAACTGAGCTCCATATGGGAGTGTAGTTAGCATGCATCGCCTCCATCTGAACTGCTGTATCAAAACACCAGGAACTAGTTTGGCTTATCAACAACAGAAGGTTCTGTCTCACAGCTCTGGAGGCTGGGAAGCCCACGATCCAGGTGCTGGCTGCTTTGGTATCTGGTGAGCGCCTGTTTCCTAGTCCAAAGGTGGCACCTAACACAGCGAAGGTGGCAAGGCTCTGGGGTCTCATTTACAAAGACACTGACGGCATGCACCTATTATGCTGTTACTTGACCCCCAAGGGCTGCTCCTCCAAATACCATCACTGTGGGGGCTGGGATTTCAACATGAATTCGGGGAGCATACAAATGGTCGGATCATAGCGGCATCTCGTACTGCACGTGTCCAAATGATGTCCCAGTCTTCCTTCCTCCCTCCTGTTCAACACACTGTCTTACCCGTCTCAGTAAACAGGGTCCATTGCTTGGTGGGTCAGGTCTCCTGGACTCCTCTCTCTGTCACCCTGCCAGCTCTGGTGTCAGACCGTGCCTGTACGCCCCTGGGCCTCCCGCCACCCCTGGCGCCCTCTTGGGGTGAGGCCCTCCTCCTCCCTCACCTGGACCATTAGCCACAGCTCCCAACCAGCCCTCCCTCTCCTCTCGGCCTCCCTGAGGCTCTCAGCATGGCCACCAGAGTCACCTTTGAAGAAGGGGATGTCACCTGTGTGGCCTTTCTGTTCAGAACCCTCTGGGACCCTTTCCCCTTCCCCAGAGTAAAACCCACGTTCTGACCGCGGACTGCAGACTCCTGCAGCCTGTCGCCTCTCTGACAGTGTCTCTGGCTCCAGCTGCTCCTGCCTCTTGTCCTTCAGCGTCACCCAGCCAGTCCCCACTGGGGCCTTTCCTCCTGCAGCTGCTGCCTGGGATGCTCTCACAGTTGTCCAGGTGGCTCCTGGGCGTCCTTCAAGTTTCTGGTCACCTCCACCCTGGTGGGTGGAGCTTGTCCTGACCCACATCGAGTACCACTCCACACCCCCTCCCGGCTCTGTCCCTTTCCTTCCTTTATCTACTCGGTGGCACTCACTGCTACGAGGTGCACTGACATCTCTTATTGTTTCTGTCCCTGGTTTGTCCGCCTCCCAGAGTCACAGTGCTCTGGTAGCAGCGCCTTCCTAGATCGCCGTCCCTCTAGTCTGGCGCTCTAAGTACTCGTGGCCTGAGTGAGTCAGTGACTGACGCGGCCAGCTCCTAGTATAACTCTTCCTCCCCGAAAAGGGCACCAGAGTCGCTGTTACCACCTGCACCTTTCTGCAGGGACATGTGAGCCTGAGGCCATCTCTGGGAGGAGGTGACTCATGCCACATTTGTGCATGAACACTGTGGGCCACCTCATGACTTTCTGCTGACCCAGTTGGGGAGGGGACAATAGCAGACAATTGGATCCAGGCTGGCAGGTGACTTTCTCACCTGGGCAGGTAGGTAAGGAGCTACTTCTGATTGCTAATGAGCATCTTTTCCCTCGGCGTGCACGTATTTCAGGGTAATGCTTTTTTTCTCCTCCCACATATTAAATGCTCGGGAAAATCTGCTTATTAACTCAATATTTGCATAAGATTTTATTCACACAGAGTGCGCGGAGCACTCTGGGTTAGTTGTGTGTTTGTCTGTCTCTCACGTTGGCCTGTGAATTTCCAGAAGCAGAGGCTGTTTGCTTTCTGGGGACTGAGTGTGGTACCTGGCAGAGAGCAAGTCCTGGTGGCCTAGTATCTACTGGGTGACTCCCGTCCCCTTGTGATAAAATGGGGATATTGTTCACAGTACCTCTCAAGGCTGCCGAGAGAGCTGACCCAAGTGACCCTCAGGGACCATCTCTGACACAGAGTGAGCATTTGGCAAGTGTTATTTATTGTCCTTATTGCTGACGCTGTTGTCATTCGAACATCTATTTAATGTACTAAAGTGCTTTCCTTGAAACAATTATGTGAGACGATAAACCAGCCGTAACCATGATAACACTTAACAGTTATTGAGTAGCCAATCAAATGCCACGTTTGGAGCTACTTAAAAAATGCATTGTCTAATTTTCATGGCAATCATGTGAGAGAGACAGTTCTCAATTCAGAGATGTAGGAGCTGACTCAGAGAGGTTAAGAGATCAGCCCAATGTCACCCAGCAGAGAAGCATCTGAGCTGGGATTTGAACCTGAAACACTCTGACTCCAGAGTCTGGTCTTGTATATTACGGTGGGCAGCATTGTCTTCATTTTAAGAAAGAAGAAGCAATGAAATGGGTGGTCAGTTAATGGAATCGAAGGCACATAGCTTAGGTATTGGGGCTGAGATTTGCAGTGGGCGCCTGTCCTCTGAGATGCTGGGCAGGGGTGCCAGCTGGGGTCTGGAGTACACTTCACACACACATGGAGCGGCCCAGGGAGGGTCCGGTGCCAGGCGAGCCTCTGAGAGTCCGTTGATTCACCAAACAGGTCTGTGATCTGAGAGCCAGAGACGGACCAGGCGTCTCCTTATACGGTCAGTTATTCACGTCCAGACTGACAGCTGTGGCAAGGCGCAGGCCTCCGAGGGTCCCCGACAGGAGGTCCTGCTGGAGTCTGGTCAGAGGCAGCCCCGCCCTGGGCCTCCAGCTCACTGCAGGGCCAGGGAGGGAGCTGCAGGCCTCTTCCAGGGCGGGCAGGCTTCGAGGGGTGGAAGGCCCTGCATGGCCACACACCCTCCTGTGGGGACAGAGGTGGGGAGGGGAGGTGGCAGGGCTAATGGTTTTTCTGTGGGTTTATGAGTTCATTGATTTTCTCGAAGGAAAGAGTCCCTTTGACCCTGTTCCCACAAGCAGGTGTGCAGGATGAGGACTCCGGCGGCTGCTTGGAAGCAGATGACCCTGGGTGGATGCCCTGGGGAGGTCAGGGGGCAGCAACAGCCTTGCCCCCTGGAACCGTCACTCACCGTCCCTAACCCCACCTCCTCGTCTGCCACCAAGTGTGGTCACTTCAACCCCCAAGCCTCCCTCCGATTTTCCCACCCCCCCAGCTCCATAGACACCACACCAACCCCAAATGCCACCTTTTCTTGAAACAAGACTCCTAAGTCACCACTCCATGCACTCTGGTTTCCTTCCAATATCTTGTCTGAGCCAGCAGGACTGTCTTAATGTATAAATTAGATCATTGTCACTTGTGTCTTTGAAACCATTTAGTCACTTTCCATTACACTTGGAATAAACATGAAAAATACTTTGCATCTAGAAACACCCCAAATATCCATCCAAGGACTGAACAGATAAAATGTGGTATGACACACAGTGGAATACTATGCAGCTTGGAACAGGAAGGGACTCCTGGCAGCTCACAGCAAAGGGAGGGAACACTGAAGACTGGAGTAAGCCAAATGCTATAGGATTCCATTTATACCAACTATCTAATGTAGACACACTCATAGAATCAGAAAGTGGGATGGGGGCTGCAAGGGAAGGGGAAAAAGGTGTGCTATTCAGTGGGCATAAAGTCTAATTATACAAGATGAATGCCTTCTAGAGATCTGCTGTACGACATTGTACCTGTCCTCAACAACATTGTGGACTTAAAATGGGTAGAGCACAGACCTCAAATTAGTTGTTCTTACTATGATCAAATATAATGAAAGATAATTCAACTCAGTCTGACCACTAATCACTATTTTAAAATTGAAATCCGGTGCATAAACCAAACTGTGCACCCCAGTTCGCCTGGGAAAGAGGCTTTTTCTAATTTATTTCAGCAGTGAGATAAACTACGTGTGCACGAGGAATAAATGCTGGAAAGGTATTATTGATCTGATGATTTGATCATCAATATTTCCTGTTGGTGGAATCATTTGGCTGAGTTTAATTCACACACAATTTGTGGTCAAATTGGACAATGTTAACGTGAAAAACTGAACTTGTTTTATGTGAAGAACGTTCTCTGCACGGCCTTGTGTGCCCTGCTGGTCTGGTCCCCCACTCCATTTCCCTGCTGGACTGTGGCCACTGCCTCTCTGCAGCTCCTTGGACATGTCCAGTACCTTCCCACTTTGGGACTCCAGGGTTTCAAGTGGCTTCCTCCAGAGCCCTGAGTGGACACCGTCCCACACCCTCGGCTGGCCCCGTGTGGCCCTCCTCACGCTTGCGAAGCTTGATCTGCCTGGGCCTCTGCTCCCCGCACCTCCCTGGCCACAAGCCTTGCCCACTGCGGGGCAGAGCTGCTTCTGCCTGGCTCCTCCCCCCCCTCCTGTGCCTGGGGCTCGAGTGACCTGCAGGTGTGCCTGGAGTTCTTGGAGGCCCCGGTCCCATGTGAGGTGCTGTGAACACAGATCAGGAGGCAGCCTCGGCCTGTGAGCAGCCGGAGCAGCCTCTAGTGAGGCTGTGTCTAAAGGTGACCTGGAGAGAGAAGGTGTGATGACGTGCCCTCTGGCCAGACTCGTGTAGTGTACGTGTGGGGAGGAGGGACAGGGAGGAACAGGGGAAGAGGAGGACAGAGCAGCACCCAGTATGACCCACGGGGAAGGCAAAGGCTGAACTGTGCCTGGGAACCTCGGGCGGATCCTCAGAGGAGTTGAAAGAGTCCTAAGGAATGAGCAGGCATTTGCCAGGGGTACAGGCTGGGAGGGACATTGTCACGTGGGTGGCTCTAGGGGAGATGGTGTGGGTGAGACCAGAGGCCAGGAGATGGATTGGAGTGCTGTAGCCAGAGTCCAGATGGAGGACGATTGGGCCTGAGCTGGACAGGGCAGAGAGGTCCGTGAGGAGGGCATGGCTTCCAGAGATGCTCCAGAGGCTCTGGACTCCAAGGGGCTGTTAGCATCATGTTAGACCATAATAGAATTCTAACCAACAGCCACCTAAATAATGCAGGTATCTCTTACCAACAAGAAAACTGAGGCCGACACCCCACGGTGGTTCAACCATACGATTATGTCCTTAAAGACTCGGATACGCTCTGGTATGACCTCCAGTCTTCACCATTTCAGATTTAATATTGATACTTGTTGTCTCATGGTTACAAGATGGTTGCCATTGCCCTAGGCATTTTAGTTCCTTCAAAGATGGGAAGGAGAAGGTGAGAAGGGGATGCCTGGGCATTAAGAAAAAATTTTCTCACTTATTTCTCTTTTTATTATGGAGGAATTTTTTTTTTAGAATTTCTCAGAAAATAGCTGGTAATGTTTCATTGACTAAGATGGGGATGGGGGCTGCCAGGGCAGCGGAAAGAGGAAGTAGGAGGAGCCATCCAGACATCCAGAAAAGGGAAACGGAGTGTTAGGATGAGCTCCCACTATTCATGATTCATGCTATGGAGATTGTGAATTGCCCCATAAGCAGAATCAAGATGTTTTTAGGCGAGAGGATTGACTGTTTGGTAGACAGT